AGTAAGAAAGTAAAAGAAAAGGGTAACATCATATATGTTCATAAAATCTCTTGCTAAAAACACATTGGAAAAAAGTACTTGAATGAATATATATGTATGTAAGCAGAGTCGAAGTCAGTATTTCAATTTTATGAGTTATGAATATTTAAAATAACTACTTCAAGTATAATTAATAACTGAATTCTAAACTTACGAATCATTTGGTTGAAAATAAGTTATCCCGAGATTAAACTAAATAATATTATATTATAGTTCAATCCACCCAAATTTAACAAAGTTTTAATTTCTTAATTTGTTAAATTAATTATACTTATTAAAACCAACAAGGGAAACCTTTTAAGGAAGAGGTTTCTATGTAAAAAATGTTGTAATAAAATGCTTCTTAACAAAAACATTTTTATATTTGAGATTTGAATTCGAGACCTCTGATTAAAATTCTTGAAATAATTGTCGGCAGACTAAACGCTTAGGATGCTTAAGTTGGTTACCTTTAACTTTATAGCCACATTATGAGTTTTTGCAAGAAATGGACCCATAAATTACTGGCCATTCTTGACAGGAGTTGAAAAAGACATATTTCTGAAATATAAATCCAAAAGTATCAACTTTGAAAAACTTTGGATTTTGGACTGTATAAAAATTACTCCAACGGCTAATAAGTAATTATCGGAGTTTCTTAATCGAAGAAGTCTAAATCTCTGTCAAAGATTTATAATTTGGAATTATTATTGCATTGGTCCTTTTATAAAGAGAGAAAACAATAATTAATAGCTTAATTGCCAAGACATATTGTGATTTTTTTTTTCAAAAATAAAATTCCTAGTAAGTTTCATCACTTTAATTTGGATTATATGTTCAAATAATTTCTCAATAGTTAAGACTATACATCGATTAATATAATTATTGTGGTAAAATACTTATAATATTCATTGGTCTTTTAAGAAACGTACAAAATTCAAAATAAACAAATAAAAATAGAAAAAAAAAAGTGTATAGTAGTTTTTCAAACTCGCTCAAAATGGAATCTACAATAATTAATATGAGTATATGACAACTTACAAGATTAAAAGAAATTAGGACTACTTTTAATTTACAAATTAAACTATGTTTGGCTATTTAAAGTAAAGAAATGAACACATTTTTTATTGGTGATTAGACAAAGGTGACCCAAAGCCATATGGATCCATTGGGGTCGATTGGTAGAATGTATAAGAATAATGCAAAATATAGTGTATTAGTAATGCTTGTATTAGTTATACTTGCATTAGTTATGATGAGATTTTTTTTATGCAATGTTTGGTTTGGTGTACTAAAAATATTATGCATTACATAATTAGAAAAATATTTGTTTACAAAAGTACCCTCCACACATAGTGGAAATGATGTAAAAAAAGTTTTTGAGGGCAATTGTGTCTTTAATAATGTTAGGGGTCGCTTAGTAGAGTGTATTAGGAAAAATAATGCATGCATTAGCCTTGTGTATTACTAGTACCTTGTTTGGTACTCTTTTCCAGCCTATGTATAACTAATGCAAGCATTAGTTATACACTCTATTGTGTATTAAGCTGTGTATTGCTAATACCATGGATTTCTAGGTATTAGCAATGCAATGGTTTTAATGCATGCATTAACTTAATTAAAGACTCAATTGCCCCCCAAAACCTTTTTTACATCATTTCTATCATAATAGTGGAGGGTATCTTTGTAAATTAATTTTTTTATGCAATGCATACTACTTTTTAATACATCAAACTAAACAACGCATAAAAAAATCTATGTATAACTAATACAAGCATTACTAATACATGCATTGCTAATGCAAGTATTACTAATACACTCTATTTAGCATTATTCTTATACACTCTACCAAATAACCCCTTAATGCATGCATTAGACCTCATTGCATTACTAATGCATAGAAATAGATGGTATTAGTAATACACTCTTCAATACACAATAGAGCGTATTACTAATACAAGCATTAGTTATGCATAGGTTAGAAAAGTGTACCAAACAAGGTACTGTTAATAAATCAAGCTAATGCACGCATTATTTTCTCTAATACACTCTACCAAACGACCCCAATTCACTTCACTAATAGGCTTATTCTTCGACTTTGATTGTTATGGACCAGTATCAAGATCATGTCCTAGAATAGGTGGATCTAATTTTACTAACCGTAATAGCAATAATGAAAATGACCCCTTCTTTAATTAGATTATATGAGTAGATATAGTTTAATAAGTTGAGTTTTTATCCTTTTAAAAATAACCCTTTTAACTTTTCTAGTTTTTAAGAAAGAAAGGTCGAAAGTCTCTTTTGTTGGGCTCTACAATACTAATTGAAAGGCAAAACTCAGATCTTCATAACATATTTAGCATGAAAAATCATGCGCGAGTTGAAATTAGTCTCTTCTCACTATATCTATCTCATAGTAATGTTTTTTTTTTTCTTCTCTCTAGCTAGTGTATATATATCTTTCTTTTTTTTGGAACAAGCTAGTACATATCTTATACATTTGTATTACTACTATTTGAAAGTGTAGTATTGGGGTGTAAAATAGTAGTTATGAAACTTTAAAAAATAATCCTTATCGAAAATGGATTTGTAACAATCATGATTTGTGTCATCAACTGATGAAAATCCTCACAAGATGGATAAATCTCTATCAATTTGAACTCTAAGAAGATACACTGAAGTTTCTTATAGAAAATCGTTGTCTTTGAAACATTTATAATGGTGTATCTATGTTAGGGTTTTGTCCTGATTTTCTTTATCTTATTTGAAATTTATTTATTTTAGAAAAGACAAAACTTTACCATAAATGTTTTAACCTTTTTCCGAAAGGAAAAAAACATTATTTTCTTCCATATTTGATTTATTCTTTCCTTGGAGGAAAAAGTTTGGAACTCTATAAATTGAAGACTCCTCTTCTCATACCAATAACACAAAAACATCCATAATGTAGTTAATTAAGAGTTTTGTTTATGAGGAGATTTTCCCTCAACAGTTTTAATATATTTTTTTATTAGTTTTTCTTATATTGGCCGATTGGCTAAACCATATAATAATATTATGTTTTTTAGTCTAAGTTTTTGTCATCCAATTTATAATCATATAATTTACAATTATAAGTTTCTGCATGATGCCCTAATCACTTTCGAATCCAACAATCCATACGTTATAGGTTTAGAATGAGGACAAACTAATTAATGAACTCGACCTTTATGGATAGTCCTAACCTAATAACTATTTCAAACAGAAAGTACTCAATCCGGTTATGCAAACAAGGTATGTAACACATTATATTATGGAGAAGTTTACTATCATATTGGTAATTGACAATATGAATTCAATTAGTCGAGCTCTAAAGCTGATATTGTACATTTAAATGGATAAAAAATAGTGACATTTTGACAACAATAGCGCTTGTAGTCCAACGGTAAGGATAATTGCCTTCCAAGCAATAGACGCGGGTTCGACTCCCGGCAGACGCATAGCATTTTTTTACTATTTAGATTAGTTGTTTTTCTTTCTTTTCCCCAACTTGAAAATTCTTCTATCTAGTGTAATCGAAAACATTAGTGATAAAATTTCTATAATAGATTTTTTGGTAACTATCTTCATATAAGAGATTTATACAAAGCATAGCAAGAAAATATTTTTCAAGTTAATGCTCATACGACACAATAGAAAGAAGTAGGAGTGTTTATTAGGTGGTTCAGTTTGATTTTTATATTTAATGATTTGACTTATCGATTATCAGTTTTTACATGTGTTAGATCAATATTTTTTTTTTCATTCAAAACCGGTATCAACCTAATGAGATATTGGTTGCTTTAGTTCGACTTAACAATTATACTACAGTTATCATACGAATTATATATAAGCTAAATCTTTTTACCCACTATGGCAATTGTAACAAAAAAGGAGTAATTTTTACATTCTCTGCCATTGACTTCTCATCCAACGTGTGGAACCCACGTTGTCGCCAGCGAGGTTCGATTTTCGCACTTAATAGTTATCGATTTTTGTATGTGCTAAACCGCTACAAAATAATAAGATATCGATAGATTCGGTTCGACTCAACAGTCATTCATCAGTTACTAATTGGGTCATAAGTTAATCGGTCTATCCAATATAAAAAAAAATATAACAAAAGAGGAGTAGCTTTTACGTACTCCAACACCGACTTCTCGTCCAATTGCCTGAACTCATCGAATGTGGAGGTTGGTGGAGAAATAAAAAAAGTTAAAAATTAATCGGTCTATCTAATATATAAATATAACATAATGGAAATAGCTTTTACGTACTCCAACACTAACTTCTCGTCCAATGGCCTGAACTCTTCGAATGTCATCGTTGGCAGAGAAATAAAAAAAGTTATACATTGATCGGTCTATACCCAATATAAAAAAGATGTAACAAAAAAAAAGAGTAGCTTTTACGTACTCCAATACTGACTTCTCGTCCAACGACTTAAACCCATCAAATGTCATAGTGCCCACCAGAGAAATAAAAAAAGGTATGGTGAACATGGGGTTGAATATAAAACATAATAGAAAAAGAAGTAGCTTTTACGTACTCCAACACTGACTTCTCATCCAACGACTTGAACCCATCGAATGTTGTCATCATGCTTAGCGGAAAATAAAAAAAAAATATGGTGGTTGTGAGATTCGAATATACAACGTAACAGAAAAGGAGTAGCTTTCACATACTACATCACTGACTTCTCGTCCAACAGTCTGAACCCATAGAATGTCATCGTCAAGCCAGCTGAAGAAATAAAAAAAATGGTATGGTGGCTGTGGGGTTCGAACCCACGCGCACTTATGTGCAGAAGATCTTAAGTCTTCCCCCTTAACCACTCGGGCAAACCACCTCAATGTTTACAAATTTCATTCTTTCAATTTATCTAACCACAAAGTATTGTGTAGAATTATCCAGAAGCTTCTTCACCGTATATAATTCCTCCTCATCTTCATCTTCCAACAATCCCAGAAGAACAGAACTTTCCAGAATCCCAAATTCGTAATGGCAGAACACTTAGCTTCAATTTTCGGTACTGAAAAGGATAGAGTGAATTGTCCTTTCTACTTCAAGATCGGTGCTTGTAGACATGGAGATCGATGTTCGAGGCTCCATACGAAACCAAGTATTAGTCCTACTATTCTCCTCTCAAATATGTATCAAAGGCCTGATTCAATTACCCCTGGTGTTGATGCTCAAGGCAATCCCATTGATCCTCGCAAAATCCAGGAACATTTTGAGGTATACCCATTAAGTTTTTCTGCTGTAAATTACTATTTTTGTCACGATTTGACATGGTTTATGATATGATTGCTTCTTTTGAGGTATACCCAGTTAGGTTTTTCGCTTAATTTGTCTATTTTATTGATTATTGTTGCTACAATTTGGTTGTTTCATGAAAAATACCTTTGCTTTAGGTGTTTTAGTGTGAATGATAGTGAATTTTGTGTGGTATATGATATGATTGCTTCTTCTGAGGTATACCCAGTTAAGTTCGTCTGCTTTACTTGTCTGTTTTATTGGGTCATTGTTGCCTCTATATTTGTGTGTTTCATGAAAAAAATGGACTGTTGTTGTAGAGGTATTATAGTATGAATGATCCGTGAGTCGACATGTTCTATGATATAATTGCTTCATTTGAGGTATACCCAGTTAGGTGTTTCTGTTTTATTGATCATTGTTGCCACTATTTGTGTGTTTCGTGTAAAAAAAACCGTTGTTGTAGGAATTATAGTAAGGAACGATCGATCATGGATTTATTATGTTATATGATATGATTGCTTTCCTTTGAGGTTTACCCAGTTAAGTTCTTTGTTTTATTGATCATTGTTGCCACTATTTGTGTGTTCCGTGTAAAAAAACCCGTTGTTGTAGGAATTATAGTAAGGAATGATCATGATTTTGATATGTTATATGATATGATTGCTTCCCTTCGAGATTTACCCAGTTAAGTTCTTCTGCTTTACTTGTCTGTTTTATTGGTCATTCTTGCTAGTATTTGTGTGATTCATGAAAAAAAAAAAAAAAAGAATCTTGTGAGAGGTATTGTAGTATGAATGATCGGGAATTTTTTTGTGTTTTATGATATTGACTGCTTCTTTTGAGGTATTCCCAGTTGTTTTTTCTGCTTTACTTTTCTATTTTATTGGTCATTGTTGCCACTATTTGTGCATTTCATGAAAGAAAAGACTGTTGTTGTAGAGGTATAATAGTATGAATGAGCCATGATTTGACATGTTCTGTGATATGAGATATGATTGGTTATTTGAGGTATACCCAGTTAGGTTCTTGTGCTTTATTGATCATTGTTGCCACTATTTGTTTGTCCCTTGTAAAAAAACCGTTGTTGTAGGTTTTATAGTTAGGAATGATCTTGGATTTGACATGTTCTATGATATAATTGCTTCTTTTAAGGTATACCTAATTAGGTCTTCTGCTTTATTGATCATTATTGCCACCATTTGTGTGTTCCATGTAAAACGACCGTTCTTGTAGGTATTATAGTAAGGAATGATCTTGGATTTGACATGTTTTATGATATGATTGCTTCTTTTGAGTAAAGCTTTATGTTGAATTGGAATTGGAATTGGAAGCAGGACGTTGCTTTTTAGTGGTTCATAATGCTCCCTCGGTCCCATAGATTTTTGCTAAGGTAACACTTATTTTGGGACGAAGGGAGTGGTAGCTATCAAATAGCTTCATACTTTGTGTTCTTAGAAAATATTTGAGGAGAAGTAACTAATTGGAAATTTGGAATATGATTTATTATGGTACTGTGGCAGGATTTTTATGAAGACTTGTTTGAAGAACTGAACAAGTATGGAGAGATTGAGAGCCTGAATATTTGTGACAATCTGGCTGATCACATGGTAGGATTTCTGTGCTTTCTTGTAGTCATTCATTGATCGTGACTGGTGGTTTTAACTATGTTGTATTGTACCCTGTACAGGTTGGTAATGTTTATGTTCAGTTTACAGAGGAAGAGCATGCTTCAAATGCACTGAAGAATCTTACAGGAAGATTCTATGCTGGTAAGTTTCTATTCTTTCAAACCATAGTAATAAAAAAGATTTGAATAGAGGAGAAAGAATGCAAAATGATGAAAGAACGTGTCATGTATGAATTGTATTATCGGGACCAGGGGGTATAAGTACACCCAACCAAGAATGTTCAATTGGACACCCTTCGCTGGAAATTATGTTGTGTGCATATAGGTGATAGGACTGCTAAGGCAAATGGCAAGGAGGAGGCTTCTGCTAAGCGGCAAAGAGTAGTGACTAGTGAGGGATTTGTTTGAATCAATTGACTTTTGGAAGTTTAAAACTATGTTTTATCCCAATCCCACATGTTTTTGTAAAGAAATTTTAAATTTTCTGTCCCCATCCCACACATTTTTTCAAGAAAATTGTTACAATATGGTCACCGATCTTTTATTTTCTTCAAAATTGAGGTGGCTAATAAAGCAAAAAACTTATTTTGTGTTTTGTAAGGGGTGTTCAGTGTTTAGTATGTATCGATAAATAACATAATTTGACCTAGATACTGCGTAGTTTATGGTGAATGGTTGGTTGTAGCTCTCTGAGTCTCAAACCTGATTGGAACATATATCCCGTCATGTTCAGTTTGTCACCAATAGTTCATAATGTGACTATTTCCTTATACTCCGTTTGTTAATAAACTCTGCAGGAAGGCCCATCATTGTTGATTTCTCTCCAGTGACTGACTTTCGCGAAGCCACCTGTCGACAGTACGAGGAAAATGTCTGCAACCGTGGTGGATATTGCAACTTTATGCACCTCAAAAAGATCAGCAGGTAATAATTGCCACTCTATGTAAAAATATGAACAATTTTTTTACATTCAGTAGTCTTAGAAATTCAATTATAACTGACTTGTCTTTTATACTGAGTAATTAGGGAATTGCGACGTCAGTTGTTTGGAAGGTATAGGAGAAGGCATAGCAGAAGCAGGAGCCGAAGCCCTTATAGGCATCGCAGCTATGAAGACCGCTCTCACAGGAGTCATAGTAGAAAGCATGATGAAAGGGATCATTATTACGAGAGTCGAAGCAGGAGGAACAGAAGTACAAGCCCTGACCACAAGAGGGGTAGGAGTAGGAGTCCCGGTGGCAGGAGAGACCGAAGTCCAGTTAGGGATGGCAGCGAAGAGAGGCGTGCAAGAATAGAGCAGTGGAACAGGGAAAAAGAGCAGGCAGAACTTGATAACAGGGCTAATGCAGACAGTAATTACAAAAATGAAAGAAATCACAATGGATCTGCTCCAAACCAAGATCAGTATTATAATCAACAATGACAAGAAAGTGCATATGGATAATGAGTGAAATTATCGTGCTGGTTTGTGTCATTATCCCTTATGATTTTTGATGCTTTTATTCTGTCCTAATGTATTGTCTTCTGAGAGGGCCACCCGCCATGAAATAGAGCTTAATGCCCATTTTCTACTTGCAGGCGGTGCAGGTTTTCAATTCTTTGATAAGCAATCTGAAAAGTTTTCGACCTCTAATTTTTTTTTGTGTTCTGGCTTTAGATATGCTTTTTTTGTGCATCATTCATTGTTTACTATCGCATCTGCCCTTTGAAATTATTATTTTAAGTTGAAATTGTGGCTTGAACATACATTTTAAGTGAACTTTTAGATTTGAACTTCCACCCGCAATCCTCAACTTTCACAAACTTCTTATCCCAAAAACATAGCTATTGGAACAAAACTTCAACCACCTCCCCGAAATGTTATGTCTTCAGTTTTGAAATTTTTGTTGAGTGTGATTTTTCTTTCTTTAAGGTTACAGGGTGTATACAGTTTTCTTTGACATTTTATTGTTTTGAAGTGAAATTCCTCAACATTATCCTATGTGACATTGTTCAAATTCCACAAACTATTGTGTTACTGTTTGGGAGAAAATAACTTACTGATGCATGTTGTTTTGTTTTGCTCTTGGCTCATCTATCAGAACATATTTGTGCAATATCTCTCTATAAAGTAGGAATTGAATTTAAATTAGATGATGGAGTGCCAGAAATCTAAGGTGCGTATGTTGTCACAATGTTTGAAAAACTTGTCGAATTGGTGGTAAATTCTTTGCACTGTAATATTACCAGTTTAAAAAAAAAAACAAAAAAACTCTGAATATCATCAAATGAAAGCTCATCATTAATTTACCTTTTAAAGTGACCCATGCAGTGTTGCCTTCCAGGGCTTTCCACTGCATAAACTATTCCATAATTGTCAGGTAGGATTGGATTATGTAAAAAAAGTGATAATAAACTTATCTTGTTGTATTAACATTTCAGTTTCATACATTTCTTGGTCATCCATTTGTTCTTCTAGGTTGTCCAGGCTGAAATGTCCTTTTTCTGGCTCTAGGTTTAGGTCTTGCATTTTATGGTGCTATGTAATAAGAGACGTTGACGACAACTTGCATGATGTTTACTTGTATAATCTTTGCAAATGCATTGTGTGCTTGTTTGTGCAGTCAGGTTTCTTTTGTGCAGAGCTCATCCAGGCTAAGCTTTCAAACTGTTGTTTGGCTTTTTTCTTCATTTTTGTTGCTGCTTACCGGGAAATGTGTACAGGTTGTGGAGCCAAATCAGAGGATATATACCAACAGGTTTGATTTCGCAGGGACGAGAGAAGAATGACCGATCTGCATCTGGAGACGACAATGTTCAAATTCTTACTTATTCCTTTAGTCTATTTTTAGTTTAGGGTAATGCAACTTGGGAAACTGCTAGTTTTGCATCCTCCAGACTATTGTTTGCTATTATGTATGGTGGTGAGACCTATTTAAGGTTCTGGAAGCCTGGCTTGTGTCTAGAGAAGAATCTTGATGATATCATTTAGGTATTTCATCTTTTACTTGATTTTGGTCTCTCTGCTGACAGTCGAACGAACTGTACTGTGTGTATGTTGGCGTTTGGACAATATTTGGTTGAAGTTGAACTAACCTGTGATGTTTGTAATTCCTCTGAGGAGTTCTCTGAAATATCTTAGTGAGAGAAAATGACATAAATAATCCTTAACTAGGTCTAAAATGGTCTCTTAACTATACACTTAACGAATTTAGAAAAATATGATTTATACCCATAAGTTTTAAAAACTATTAAAACTAACCATAAATTTGTATTACAAGTCATGTGCTTTGTCTACTTCACACCTTGAGCCGATTGTTCATCATTTTCATTAACAATCATATCATCACTTTTGATATTCATTGACTATTTCATCACTACTTTGGTGTTCACGTAAAAAATTATGTAATACAACGCTAACAATTACTATAGAGGGTGCTTTTGTAAAAGATAAAAATTTGGTGTAAAATTTCAATTTTTAAAAGATTCCTAATAATGAGATTTGACCCAAATACTAGAAAAAATTAGTATTTGGGATATTTGCCAAATAATGACAGATTGTATGGACATACACTATTTGTCAAATTTTTTCCCAAATATTACTTGGGAAATCTATGGCCAAATGGGTCCATTAATATGTCCAAATGACGTATAATTTCATTGGTCTTAGGAAGGTAGAGTGTACATAGATTATATCAACAAAAGTTCTGGTGGAGTGGTAAGTACTTCTTCATTCTTAACCAAGAGGTCTCGGGTTCGAGTCCTTGGATAAGGAGTCGTCTTTGTTAGAGAGCGCTTTACCCCAAGGGACTTCTCGGCGTGAATTCAGATTTAGTCAGACTCCAATGTGGATACCAAACACTTGGTGGGAAACCAAAAAAAAATTAAAAAAAATTACATAGATGATACCTTGATACCTCCTACTTTACTCTAAGTAGAGCAGTTATTGATGCTTTCTGGTGAATGTACCATGAAAAAACGATATTTGTTACTTTTTGATGAACGTACCATAAAAAAGAGGCAAGCACAAATAAGATGATAAATTAAGTGAGTTATTTAAGAGATGAAAATACCTTATAAACACTAAGATCATCATTTTTTTACTTCTCAACATATGTAACCAACTTTAGAATTGCAGATAGTAATATTTCTATATTTCATTTAGCCTCCAAATGTATGTATATATGCATATCTTTCCAAATCTTTAATAAAAGGATGAAATGTATGCATCGCGTTTAATCAACTTTACCCACCCATCTTATGATGAATAATCCCCACGTGGAGGATCAATTGTGTTTTCCCTTATCCTTAAGGGTAACTCAATAGCATATTATAACAAGACGCGAAGTGTTAGGAACTTTTCTTTGACTTAAATTGTTTTTTATTTTCAGAAATAACGATTTGGCTTTAAATAATTCCTTTAAATGTCATAGAACAACACTAGTATCACTATTTTGAAATTGTGAAGTAGCTGTAATAAGCTGAGAGAAAATGGGAACAAGAGAAATTCCAAACAATAATTCTTTTCACAATACCTTTTTCTCCTAAAAATTGTCTTTTTTGTGAGTTGGTTCACCAAATTCCGATCCAACAACACACATTCTACAGGTTCGAAGGAATCTAATGCCCAACTAGACTCCGTCCAGATTCGCGTATTGGGTCCAAGTTAAAAAGACTACCATAATGAAAATTAACAGTCTATGCTCTACCACTATGGATAGAATAGAGATTGTTTTCGATAGATCACATATAAAAAAAATAAAAAAATCCTATGAAGTCATAAGATTAAAGGATCATATAAAGAAAGGTATTCAAAAATAGTAATGAATATAGATAGGGGCAAAACTTTCTGGTAACAAAAACATTCATCAAAAATTGACCTACTAAAACCAAGGAAAATAGCTTCTTAAACCATAGAGACCAAACATCTATAAATAAAAATAAAATCTTTGCTCTGCAAAAAGATCTTTCAAGCCCTCTACTTCCTTCCTTGCTTGCCCTTGAAATTCTTTTGGCCACTGAAGTTCCTGCAACAAAGTATTGCCAATCAAATATTAGTCGTGTTTCAGGCGAAGGGCATTGGGAAAAGGGGAAGAAGGGGCTTTATGGTGTTTGTTGTACATACTTGTTGTTAGATTTGTTGCCAGAGAACTGACCACCAGATTTTGGGGACTGAGTTTTTGGTTTGTTGTTACCATTGAATGCAGGTTTACCATTTTGCTTAGCAAAAGGGGTGGCTGGACCTTTCTTACCGCCTGAAAAAAAAGTTTGTCAATAACAAAGCTCATATAGTAACACTCCATGGAGAATGTAAACATAAAAAAAAATGAAGCATGAAAAACATATCGAACCTGACTTGTTGTCGGGTGTTGCTTGTTTAGCTTTTTTGCCAGAGCCAGGAGCTACTTTAGGAGATGGAGCTGGTCTCTTCTTCTGCTCAACCTTTATCATAAAAGGAGCGATTAGACTCAACTAATATAATTAAGACAAATCGATCCATTCACAAGTCCAGAAATAAAATAGAGCACAATCACAGAAAGATCCAAAATTTAGTACCTTTTTAGGGGTCTCTTCTTCTGAATCATCATCTTCCTCGGAATCATCATCATCCTCAGAATCACCAGAAAAATCCATCCCTTCTGGACCATCCTAGAATAAACAACAGGAGAAAATGTTCAATACAATACACCCGGACAGAAACAGATTATAAGGAATAGCATCTTTCCTCGTATAAAAAGATAAAAGATGCAGAATAAGCATCACAAAAGTCTTTATGAATCATACCATGCCTAGAGGCACATCAGAGTCATCTTCAGAATCATCTTCATCATCAGAGTCATCTTCATCAGACTCCGCCTCTTTCTTTGATTCAGCTACCTTAGCATTTTTCTCATCCTTAACAGGTGCAGACTTCTTTGCATCAGGCTTTACATCCTTCACATCAGCCTCAAGTTTCCCATTCAGTGCCTCCAAAACATTCTCTTCATCCGAAAAAACATCATCTCCAGAATCAATTTCATCACCGCTAGGATCATCAGCAGTGTATCCAATGAAGTGCACACTCCCATTTTTCCATCCATGTGAAAGTTCAAACTCCTTTTCAAAGACCAAGTCAAACATCAACTGAGGTCTATCCTCAGCGGATAGAGTTCCAATGACATAACTGTTATCTCCAACAGTTAGGCGTAGTGGAACATATTTGGCTTCTTTGACATCCTTCACTTCACCGATGGCAGCCTACAAACAAAATCAAGATTTCAACATTCAAAAATGCCCTAATATCCATTTAAAAGCAAAGAGAGATTATGCTAGCATGAGAGAGCATACCAAGAAAAAAACTAACCTGGGAAACATGAATGAGCTTGAAAAGCTCGGGTTTAACCTTTAGTGTTTGTCCTGCTTTCACTTCAACACCTATACATAGTTCATGTGAAAGAGATGTCACACCTTAATAAGTTACACAGCATACAACTACAACAAACCCTGTATAATCCCACGAGGGGGGAGGTGTCAGGGGAGTGTACACAGCCTTTTTTTAATAAATCCACACTAAAATTTTGAAGAACACCATTAACTTGCGAATACTAAAAAGTGATCTCCCAAAATATTTATATTTCAAAGTAGGGCATTCAGCTCAAAGATTGCAACTTATTTCTCTTATCTGATGTAATAATTTGGGTTTAAAATTCATCAAGATTCTGTCTTTAAAAAGGTAACATAAAATCTGGCAAATAATTGCTTTTACACATACCCCACAAAGTGCATACAATCTTAACACTAAAATCAATACACATTACCAGTAACACAGCCTAAGATTGAACAACATATCAGTTAAAAACTAACATAAGAAGAAAACAAAAAAGCTCCACGAACCCTCAAAATTTTGAACTTCCTTCTCAAATAAACACCAATAAGTAAAACAAGGGTAACGAATAAAAACGCAAAATTTGAATTTCAAACATACCCAAAACTCTAAGACTGATCATCATATCAGTTGGTAGTAACTACAAACTAACAAAAGAAAAAGAGAAGCTCTACTACCCTAAAACTTCCTACTTTCTTTTCAAACAAATACAATTATCAATAAGTAAAACAAAGGAACGAGATAAAACACAGAATTTGAACCTCAAACATACCCCAAAACTCTACCAGAATCCAAATATAAAATTGAACAATATATCAGGCTAATAAAACTAACAAAAGAAGCCCATGGCCCTGAAAAGTTATTACTTTATTTTAGAATAATCACCGATAAACAAGAAAACCCATATAAAACATACAGAAATTGAATTTCGAGCATAACCCAAAACACTACTAAGGTAACTAACACAAAAAAAGAAAACAGCTTAACAACAACAACATACCCAGCAAAATCCCACAAAGTTCAGTACTTTCTTTTCAAACAATCAAAAACCAAACAAGGAACACATAAAAACACAATAAAATCGTTTTTTAACACCCCAGAACTCCATTGATGATGTGAAAAACTCAAATATTAGAGGCAACAGAGTATAGCAACAAGACTTCTAAAGGAAACACATAAACACACAGAAATCAAATTTAAACCATAAACTCTACTAGGCAACAACAAAAATCCCACAAAGTTAATTACTTTCTATTCAAATAATCACCGATTAAAAAACAGATAAAAACACAATAAAATTGATTATCAAACACACCCACAAAACTCCGATTGTAGTTTGAAAAGCTCAAATACTAGGGGCAACAGAGTATATCAACAAGACTTGTAGAGGAAACACATAAAACACACAGAAATCAAATTTCAACCATTACACAAAACTCTACGAAGAAACTAACACAAAAAAGATCAACAACAACAACAACAAACCAACAAAGTTAATTACTTTCTATTCAAATAATCACCAATAAAGAAGCAGAAAAAATAGATAAAAAAACACAATAAAATTGAATTTGAATCATACCCCAAAACTCCATTGATGATTGTTTGTTTGAAAGCTCAAAACAATTGGGGGCGAAGTAAGAGAGCAAAAAAGACTGTTATGCGAAGAGCAAAGATTATAGAGGGCGGTATGAGAGAGGGTTTTAGAGGGTTTATATAGAAAAACTTGCCGCTTAACTAGGGTTTATGGTTTCCCAATTTGACAAAAACTTTCAATTTTTTTGTATACTAAGAGAACCCGATGGGCCTAGTTTGAGGTAGCCCAATATACCATTATCATTTATGGGCCAATATTTGAACTCTTTATTAACTGTTTTTTTGTTTTTGTTATTTATATGAGAATTTTATACAAATTTCATAGTGTTAAGAATAAAAAATAAAAAATAAAAAAAACATCTTATACCTATTTTTTTTTCAAATTACAAAATTCCTTAAATTTGGTGGAATTCGAAACCGTCCCGAAATATCGTGTTTTGGTTTTTGATAACCAATACATTGCGTCCCGATTTTAGATACATCATCCTGATATATCGCGTCTCATTTTTAGATACATCACTCAACGTCCCGATACGTACGTCGCATAAAGTGATATATTCGACAGATATATCATGTAAAGTGATGTATCTGACTGATACATCGCATAAAGTGAGGTATCTGAGAATAGAAGAGAAAAATTTTGTAATCTTTTTAAATGACAGGAAATTTTAAAAATATGATAAAATAAGTTGTATATTAGATCATTTTTTCTATTTATATCAGGTAGCCACTTTATGGCAAGCATTTAAAAGTTGTGTAGTTTTTAATTTTTGTTCCCCATATGGCCATATTCATAGTCTTTTATTTTTGTTTTTTTTAGTAGCGTTCACAAAGCATAAGATTATTCTATATAAGGTATGACTTAGAGCCCGTTTGGATTGACTTAAAAAAAGTAATTTTTTAAAGTGCTGGAACTTATTTTTAAAATAAGTAGTTATGTGTTTGGATAAAAGTGCTGCAGTTGGAAAAAAAGTTGTTGATGTGTTTGGCAAATAAGTGCTGGTAAACACTTTTTTTTATCAAAATGTCTGAAATACCCTTTAAGCTGTTAACATGATAAAAAGTTGATTAATTTAAGGTTTTTATACTTAAAAAAAAAATTAAAACAAAATTAATTTATGTTTTACATCCATAAGTAATAATATTTTTCTATCATTCACATATTTCTTTACCACCTTATAAGAGGAATATAAATTCATATTTCAGAAATAATAATAATAATAATAAAAAAAAAATAAAAAAAATAAAAATAAAATAATAATAATAGTTAATAGTAATAATAATAAACATAATAATAATAATAATAATAATAATAATAATATAATAATAATAATAAAATAATAGTAATAATAATAGTAATAGTAATAATAATAATAATTATTATTATTATAATTATAATTATTATTGTAATAATAATAATAATAAAATAATAATAATAATCATAATAATAATAATAGTAATAGTAATAATAATAAAATAATAATAGTAATAGTAATAATAATAATAATTATTATTATAATTATAATTATTATATAATAATAATAATAAATAATAATAATAATAATAATAATAGTAATAGTAATAGTAATAATAATAATAATAATAATAATAATAATAATAATAATAATAGTTATAGTAATAGTAATAGTAATAATAATAATAATAATAATAATAATAATAATAATAATAGTAATAGTAATAATTATTATAATAATAATAATAATAATTATTATTATTATAATAATAATAAACATAATAATAATTTAATAATAATAATAAAATAAAATAATAATAATAAAAAAAATAATGATAATAATAATAATATAATAATAATAATAATAATAATTCAATATGGGCAATTTGAAAATTGTATAAAAGAATTAAGGGCAAAAAGGTAATATACTTGATCAACATAAAAGGGCTTTTAAGTTAAAAAAAAAAGAAGCTCCCCTCCCCTAGCTTTTAGCTTTTGGCTTTAAATAAGTCATTTTTGACTTAAAATAAGTCACTCTGATAAGTCAAAAACTGGCTGTTAAGCTAGTTTAACCACCTTAAAAGCTCATCCAAACAGGCTCTTAGAAGGTGTTCAGATTGATTTAAAAGTTGATCAAATTTACTTTTAAGTTTGTTTTTTACTTTTGAAAGTGTTTGGCAAAAATAATTTAAAATAAGTTAAAAAATGACTTAAAATAAGTTAGAAAGTGTTTGATAAGATTAAAAATAACTTAAAATAAGTAGCTATTTTTGATTCATAACTTATTTTAAGTCATTTTAAACTTATTTTTAAGTTTGTCAAACAGTTTCTAACTTATTTTAAGTCATTTTTTACTTATTTTAAGTTACTTTTATTTTTGTCAAACACTTCAAAAAATAAAAAAATTCACTTATAAAATTGACTAACTTTTTTTTTTTTGGTTTTCCATTCGGTGTCCGATATTCACATTGGAGCCCGATTAAATTTGAATTCACGCTGGAAAGTTCCACATTGGGGTAAAGCGCTCCCTAACAAAGGCGACTCCATATTCAAGGAGATTCAAACCCGAGACCTCTTGGCTAAGGATGAAAAAGTATTTACCACTCCATCACTGGTTTGTAAAATTGACTAACTTTTAAGTCAACCAAACTATAATCAAACCAAACATTTGCAATGAATAAGGCTATGTTTGGACAACTCCGACAAGCTTACCACTCTACTCTTCATGTCCATTCCTCTGTTATGTAATACTTCCCTTATCCAATCCTTCATGTCCACCGTCCTCCGCCCTCCCTCCTCCCCACTCCGCCACCACCACGGCGGCCGCCGGCATCATCGTCACCACCTCTTACCTTCATCACCCTTTTTCCTTCCCCTAAAACCCCTTTCACTGTCTCCCTCAATATCCCTTTACACCCCCTATTCTTCATCTTCCACTTCACCCCAACAACTTCTGCTGGATTCCCAAGAAACCCAAGTTGATTTCGACAATTGGGACCCCATTTCTGCTTCTGGGGTTGCTGAAAGTTTCAATTTTGACGATTCTTTTGATTCTGTGGAGTTGAAGAAGTTTGAAACCCCAGCTGTTGAGGTGAGGGAATTAGAGGACATTCCTGATCAATGGCGTAGGGCAAGATTAGCTTGGCTTTGTAAAGAGCTTCCTGCTCATAAGACGCCTACTATGGTTAGGATTTTGAATGCACAAAGGAAGTGGATTAGGCAAGAAGATGGGACTTTTGTTGCTGTTCATTGTATGCGAATTCGCGAAAATGAAGCTGCTTTTAGGGTAATGTGTTCCTTTCTTTTAATGTTGAACAAGTAGACACACGTGTTCTATTTGACGTCTGGTATCTATATCATATGTCCTTCAATTTTGAGTGTGCATATAAGTACACATTTAAACTAGTATAGAGTTGAACAAGTAGACAGACTGCAGATGTGTCCTATGTGGCAATTCGCGTGGCAACATACGTGATGTCTTATGTTAGGATACGTGTCTAATTGTTCAACTTTATATGTGTTTAAGCAGAGGCAGACCCACACTTGCAAGTGAGGGTGCACGTGCACCCGTTAACTTTGAAAAAATCATGTATATATATGTATATCTAACTGTCAAAAATTAGGATATAATTAGCATTGCACCCAAAAAAAACATATGAGTGCCCTTGTGTTGTTGGTACAAGCTAGGGGAATCACCCCTGAGAACCGGGTTTGAATCCAGCTAAAGCCCTTTTTCACTGTTTTTATTTTAAGTTTAGCTTAGAGCTAAGGTAATATTGATGCACCCGAAATCTTTAAATCCTGGGTTTGCCTATGAGCTTAAATGCTGACTTGTGCACACTCAAAGTTGAAGGACATAGATACAAGTTGATGCCAAGTTAAAGGCATATGTATGTATTATGCCTTTTAGTTATGTTGGTAAAAGTATTTGGGTTGATCATTAGTTGCCTCACTTATTAGTTTATATTATGTGGAAGAAATTTGATATAAATTTTGGAGAATGTGGAGAAAAATTCTGTTTAACTGTATGTGTGTTCGCGAAAATGAAGCTGCTTTTAGGGTAATGATGTTCATTTCCTTTAGTTTAAAAAAGTTGTTATCTTTTGTGTTTTTGGTTATTTTGGTAAAAGTTTTCGGATTGATCATTAGGAGCCTCACTTATCGGTAGCTATTATGTGGAAGAAATTTGCTATAGATTTTGGAGATAATTTCTGTTATACTGTGTGTATTCGCGAAAATGAAGCTTCTTTTAGGGTAATGTGTTCATTTGCTTTAGTTTAGTCAATTCTTTATTATAGAAAACGGTTGTATCTTTTTGTGTTTTTGGTTATGTTGGTATAATATTTGGGTTGATCATTAGTGGCTTCACTTATCTCACTAACTATTATGTCAACGATATTTGCTACAAATGGTGTAGAAAATTGCCGTTTCTCTGTTCTTGGTTGATTTTTCTTATAAGGTACTTGTGCTTCTTAAGATTTTGTACTTATACATTAAGTATTTGTACTAGCCAGTCTTGTCAAGGTTTAGTATTTCATCGTTTTTGCACTTTAACCAGTGTTAAGAAAATTGCTCAATAGGTTCGTACTCCATGGTGCCGAGTTTTTTTCATTTGGAATGTCTAAGGAAGAGTAGCTATCGGCATTTTACTTGCTTCCTCAAACTGAAATCTAAAGCTTTTACATTTAATTGCATCCACTTTGTTAAACAACTTATTTTTCCATTTGTCCGATGCCTAATTACTTTTGTTATGTATTTGAAATAATAGTGTCTAAACTCTAAATCACAACGATCTAACAGTGTCTGGTGCAAAATAGCAGGTTTACAAATGGATGATGCAGCAACATTGGTTTCGATTTGATTTCGCACTGGCTACGAAGCTAGCAGATTACTTGGGGAAGGAACGAAAGCACTTGAAGTGCCGGGAGATTTTTGATGACATAATTAATCAGGGACGAGTGCCTTGTGAATCTACATTCCATAATCTCATTATTGCCTATCTTAGTTCATCTGGACCATCAGTGTTAGATGAAGCCTGTAACATCTACAATCGCATGGTGCACTTGGGAGGTTATAAGCCTCGGCTTAACTTACACAATTCTCTGTTTAAAGCTCTTTTGGGAAAGGCATCGAGTGAGAGTAAACACTTTCTGAAACAGGCTGAATTTATGTATCAGAACTTGACTTCCTCTGGATTGGAAATACACAAAGATATTTTCGGCGGTCTTATATGGCTTCACAGTTATCAAGATGTGGTCGATATGGAAAGAATTGCTGCGCTAAGAGCAGAAATGCGATCAAGAGGAATTAAAGAGAGCAAAGAGGTACTTGTGTCAGTTTTAAGAGCTTGCTCAAAGGATGGGAATGTGGAGGAAGCCGAACGAACTTGGTCAAAACTTCTCTCCATCGATGGCAGTCCTCCTTCTCAAGCTTTTGTCTATCGTATGGAAGTATATGCAAAGATTGGAGAACCTACAAAATCTTTGAAAGTATATAGGAGGATGCAGGAACAACTGGGTTCCACCTCCGTTGCAGCATACCATAAAATAATAAAGGTGTTGTCTAAATATCAAAAACTAGACCTTGCAGATTCTATCATGTCCGAGTTCATAAACAGTGGTATGAAACAGCTGGTCCCATCATTCATCGATTTGATGAGGATGTACTCCGTTGCAGGTTTACATGAGAAACTGGAATCTACCTTTCTCCGGTACCGTGAAGTCTGCCATCCGAATCTGACAGTTTTTAACATTTATTTGGATTTGTTGGTGAATACTGGCAATCTGAGCCTGGCTGAAGAAATCTTCCATGAAATGCGTGGTAATGTGGCAATTGGTGTTGATTCTCGTGCTTGCAACAGTATTTTGAGAGGCTATATGACCTCTGGAGAGTATGTGAAGGCAGTAAAGATATACAATTTGATGCGCCAAAAGAAATATGACGTTGAGATTGAATCTTCATTGATGGAAAGACTTGATTATGTTCTTAGCTTGCGGGAGAAAGTAGTTGAAGAACCTATTAGGCTGAAGCTCACACCAGAACAACGAGAGGTTTTGACGGGGTTGCTTCTTGGGGGTGTGCAAATTAGATCAGATGGAGAGAGAAGATTGCATGCAATCCATTATGAATTTAATGAAGAGTCGAGGATCCATTCCATTTTTAAGAGACACATACATGATGAATTTCACGAGTGGTTAGGCTCTCATGATACGATGGTGGATAGCACTGCTGACATTCCTAATTCTTTTACCACCATTTCACATTCTTATTTTACTTTCTATGCTGATCAGTTCTGGCCCAATGGACATCCTTGTATACCAAAACTCATACATAGATGGTTGTCACCTCGCGTTCTTGCTTATTGGTATATGTATGGTGGTTACCGGACATCATCTGGTGATATTCTATTGAGAGTAAAGGGAAGTTCAGAGGGTGTTGTGAGTATTCTTAAAGCACTGAAAGCCAAATCATTAGACTGCCGAGTAAAAAAGAGGGGGAGAGTCTTTTGGATAGGATTTCTGGGGGACAATGCTACATTCTTCTGGAAGGTGGTAGAGCCCTTCATTCTTGATGAATTAAAGGAACTCCTTAAGGCAGGTGGCGACTCAAATGGATCCCTGGAAACCCAATGTATCAATTTTGACAGTGGCTCGGAGACTGACGAGAAGAATTCAGAGTGTAGCGATGCTGACACGTCATAGAGCCTTGTCTGATTGATGTATTGGTCTGTATGCCTTCTATTGCAAGGTGTAATAGGTTATTTGAGATTAAAAACGTTGCTGCAAAAGTTTGTGGTTGATAAGGTGCCTGACCACCTTCTTCTGACAGGTATCATTACCTCAACACTATCTTTTGTGACGTGTCTAATCGTAGGTTTAAAACCATATATGTAAACTAGCTCTAGAATAACCTTGTACATATTCCTCTGGTATATAGCACATTCTTTGACAGTTTGCATAAGTTGAAAGCATAGGGTATAACACGTCTCGGTACACAACTCTAATCACCTTTGACATATCAGGAAAAAAGAAACTCTAATCACCTTTGATTTCATAAGTGGCAGCAATTGTCATGATAAAGCTGATGTCAGAGCAGAAAGCTACAATTCTTCGTTCCTTTTGATTTTCATGTGTAGATAGTGCTTCCTCTGTTTCATGTTGATCCTACATGAAAATAGTACTCTTTTCCAACCTTTTATCCTCAGTTTCTGGTTCGAACAACAGTAATGATCAGTTAATTTGTAGACGGCAGGACCGTGGTTCATTCACAGTCAGCACTGTTACAAGATACTACTCACAGCCCACAGGTACTAATCATCTTACTTTTGGTCTATGGAAGAGTATATGGAAAAGTAAGTCATGTGTTTTGTGTGGTCGACTCAAAACAATCTACAAAGATGACGGATACAGCTAGTCTGCTACATGTGCTGAATAGAGGCGGAATCAGTTTACCATATTTTTTTACATTGCTCTATATCATCTACACAGATTTGGCAGATGTTCCTTTATTTGTAGTGGGCTATACCAAGAACAGCTGCTGATTTTCTTTCATCCTCAATCGGTATGACATAGTGCTGGTCTTTTTGACATCAATAATACTTGCATATTGATTTTCCTCCTTGCATTTGTGTTCAAAATCACAAGTTTGAGATGAATACAAGTGCTAAAGCACATTTTCTTAGAGCTGAGACCAACAGTTTTTTTCTGTTTTAACTGTAAAAGAATGTATACTTCTGACGAGAGGGAGTTGCTCGTATGGTAAGCACCCCTTACTTCCAACCCAAAGGTTGCGAGTTCGAGTCACCAAGGGAGCAAAAGGAATGGGAGCTCCTAGGGAGGGGGAAAAAAACGTATACTTCTTGCTCGTGGTTGTCTTCAATTTAATTCAAGAAGTTAGCTGAGATATCAGTGGAGGTCCATCATAGTCGCTATTTTTCAAAGATATGGTCGAGAAGTGATCAGTTGCCGCTAGTTCTACTTACTGAATTGGGTTGATGATCTTTCTTGTTTGTACAACTCAATGTCAATGAAATTCAGACATTGGGAAAGTTAGACGTCTGATTAAGAGAGAAACAACCTTATCCACTGCACTGTATTATTGTTGGAACCTTTGCATAGAAGCAAGCAAGATGAGGTCGCTCTGCTCTATAGATAAAACGTGTTTCGTACTATACTTATTAGCTCGTCTAGTGTTCACTACTTGCTAACAACTTACAATTGTTGATTCCAAGTTCGATTTAAGGAGGGGTATTGTGGAGATTGACAATCAGCGTAAAACTAATCAATTTCGATAAAAAGATCTTTGTTGCGTCTTTATCCTTCTTCAAGTTTATTGTAGAACTTGTGGTCCTATGTACACTTTCAATTTGGATCATTTGCACTTTTGCTCCTATTTTGTGTTGCTCTCTTATCCTTAAAGATAAATAATTTTTTCTTAATTTATATTTTTGTATCATATTATTCCACAAAGTAACGTTCCGCTAGACACAAATTGAAAAGGAAAAAAATCAAGACAAGTTTAAAGGGTAAATCATACAATTATATGCTCCAATTTGGTTCATATTATTAGTGACTAGTGAATAGACACAACATCAATTCATTTCTTAAAGTTGTGGTACATAATAAAAAGCCAAAATAGTCCCACATTTATCACATGGAAGCACAAATTTTCAAATATTGTTTGACCATAATATAGTAAACACAATAATTTTATGGAATCTTTCAAAGATTTTGTTAGTAGACACTACAATAATTGTGGATTCAGAATAGTTACAAATAGAAAATTTGTAGTATTCTATAAATACAATTATTAATATTTGAAATTATCATTCTAAAATTTAGAATCAATAAAATTAAAATTTTAATTTCAACTATGAAAAGTTGGTAGCATCCTTTCATTCATCAGCTTCGAGTTTCGATGTAAACCTCCTCCATAAATAAGGCACTGAATTATTTTACACATTATTGCTGGAAATCAACTTGAAAATACTGCTGGCAATAAAAGAAATCCCAATCTCAATTTCACAAAATCGATATCGAAAAATATATAATATGCAAAAAAACAATTCTACACTTTGTTGCATGTGTAACGTGACAGAAAGATCGATATGAATTATGGTAAGACTACAAATTTGAGTACTGCGAATTATAAAAATCATGTCAGGAGCATCGTTCCATAAGATGAGCCTTATAATGCTCTATATAAATTCAAATTTAATCATACAAAATAAAAAGGAAGTGACTAATAATGTTTATTTTTTCTGCTCATACTTCAAAACAACATCAAAACATTATTCTAAATACTCGAAAATTAATCTATAGTATAAAATATAACATGTAATGTACAATAATCTTAAATTTAGGAAGAATATTAGTAGCTCGATTAATTAGCTACGTGAATTTTCAACTCGTTGATGAGGATTTCGAACTTACAGTGACAGATTTGGAGTATAATTTCTATCACCGCATGAAATCCATGAATTTGAGCCAAGGCAATGAAATTTTTGTAGCAGTAGCTTTATCAGCTTGCTTTGCACAGCTTGAAGAAGAAGAAGACGATGTTCCGGCACCGGCGCCGTCGGAATTTGACGTTTTTGGGCATAGAAAAAAGTTTCTAGAACCTAATCCGATCAGTTTCTCCTCCCTGTCTAAACCTGGAACGAAAAAAATATCAGTTCGGCGTGAAAATCAACTGTTCAGATTCAGCGATGAAATGTTCAATCGAACAGTTCTTACTTTCTAAACTGAACTGCGAGTAATGAAGATCGTAATCGGCGGGATTGACGGATGTAAGAACCGGCCGCCTTCCTTCTTTCGAGTATTGCCGGAGAGCGGCAGCGATGAGATCCTGAACCGTCGATTCAAGCGAAATCAGAACATGTACAGGACCTATACTTCTCTGAATCGTAACATTCAACAGCAACTTCGTTTGCTTCAACTTGTCCTTCACTTCCGGCCAGTTACCGGTTCCGGCTGAAATTCTACCTGCGGATAGCAAATCCGGTACTGTTCTCGGCCTTCGCAGCAACTCCGACGTACTGCTCTCGGAACTCTGTACGTGAAACGACATTGATTTCTCCGATAACTTTCCCTTCCGATTCTTTTCCTCACTACCTCCTCTCCGGTGATTTCTCGGAGAAGGCATTTACGCTATATATAAGTATAGATTTTAACGTTTACCTGAGGCGACGGTAGCGGAGGAATCTAGGTACAGAGAGAGTTTTCCGGTGACCGGCAGTGAACATAACCAGAATGGCAGAAGCGTAATTCAGATGAACTAGAGGGGCTAATTTACGATTGAAGAAAATGGTGTTCCCGCTTACTCCTATTTATACGGGGGATGAAGAAGATAAGGTTCACTGCGGTTGGTTGAAATTCCTGTTAAATAAGAACAAAATAATTTTTTTAATGTAAAAGTTTGTAATTATAAATATTATTTTTTTTTCGTTTTTTTTGTGATAATATTTGATTTAAAATAAGTTAAATTTATGATTGAAAGGAAGATAATTCAAAAATTGTTGTCTGAAATACTTTCTCACCATTTATACGACTACAAATTATTTCATTTAATAATAAAAGTAAAATTTTAAAGTTAATTTTTTTTTCAATTATAAAAAATGTAACATTCTTTTTAAATAGATTAAAAATAAAAATGCGGCGTGTATAAAGGAAACTATTATTTGTGGACTATGAGGAGTACTTATTTGGTAATGTTGCATAAAATTTGAAAAAGTTTTGATACAACAATAATATACAAGTTTAGTGAAATTTTACAGGTGAGAGTATAATTGTACATAATTTTAATTTTATCTTATAAAAAGTATAGAAATTATTTCCGACCCTCAGCACAAATAAAACATATCAAATAAATACCGTATAAAATACCTATACTAATAACAATCAACATGAAATTGAAAACAAAAGAAAAGGAAACAACATATAATTTTAGTAAAAATGAAAGTCTAAGAAAAAAATATTATAATAATATCATTGATAAGAAAAATTCAATATCATACAACTACATATTAATCTTTTACTTCAATCTACGATTTTCATATTTTTATAATTCAAAATTTCAAATTACTTCCAAACATCTATCAAGATTTGGGTGGCGAGTATGGTAATGGGACCCATATTAGATGACACGTGGCAAACGGCAGCATTGCTTCGCGAGAGTACTTAGCGGTATGTGGTATAAAAACGTTTTAAGTTATGGTGGCTTTATAGTCCAATTAAATAAGGAAACGTGTAACATGATAGTGACTTCCAAACATTCCATTTTTTATTTTTTTTAAAAACATTTCCCTTTACCATTAATGATTTTTCACAAGATAATTTATTATTTTATATATATATTTTAATAGTTAAATAATTTATAAAGTTATATTTTCTTCGTTTTAATTTATATGATATGATTTAACTTGACATAAAAGAAAAAGTTACTTTTGTAATGTATGGTTTAAAATAAATTATAGAAGTTTGTGTGATTATAAATTATTTCATTTATAAAATAAATATTTGAAAGTTAAATTTTTACTAAATATGTAAATGTGTCATTCTTTTATAATTGATAAAAATAAAAGTAAGTCATATAAATGAAAAAATAAGCGTTATTAATAAGGGTGATATAGTAAACATGTCATTTTATTTGTGCCTAGTAAAACATGAACGAATAAAAATAGATGGAGAAAGTAATGTTTTATTGATCTTCTTTTTGTGTATATCAAAGCAACTTCTTTTACTTTTAGAGATAAGACATCGACGACCTCGTAAATTGTTATTAAATTTTATTTAGACAATTAAATTATAATTTATTATAATTGAACACATGATAAAATATTTATATTAGATATTTTCACCTCAAATTTGAATAATATTTTTGTGTGCATTCTCAAATGTCTGGTATGTAGATAAGTTAATCGCTTAAACTATGTCACAACCTTTAATTATACACACTTGCCTCGATAAGTCGTAAAACCTCACGCCTGTTCTAATTGAAGTTGATGTGTATAACTAAAAGATATGACATGTTTTACATGGCTAACTTAACTATCTAATAGACACTTAAAACACGTAGATATTTTTTCCCCAAAAATCAAAGCCGAAAATGTCTAATATAAACCACTTTATCAAGTGTTTAATTAGAACAAGACGTAATTTGAGTGTATGAATGAAATTTATTAATAAATTTAAGAAATTATTTGTGTATTCTAAAAATATCATATAATATGAATAGGATATACTATGAATATAAAGAGTTTAAATTAGTGAACTAATTAAGTAAGAATTATCTTAAGACAAGTTCAATGTTTTTTAATTTGTTGTTCGAACCTAGTCTCTTTCCTTCTTACCTATATAATTAAGTTACTTGCACACTAGAGAATATATATTATTATTATTTAAATAAAATATAAAATAAATCCATTAGGTTTGATGGATTCAACCTTAAATATTTACCACTAGATTCATTACACTTTTAAAATTGTGGTTATTTTATTATTGGATTAAAATTTTAATAGTTTTCACATATATTTCGTGTCAAAATTTAGAACTTAATTCAATATAGATTACTTGTGTTACTAGTATGATGTGATCATTTAACAATATTCAATGAATTTGTTTTCTAAAAAAGTGGATGAATTTAGGTCATAATCAAATCTTATCATGTTATGTTTCAGATAAAAGGAAGAGAAAATATTTATATATACAATTAAAAATAATGCAAGGAATTAAAACATCATTTTGCAACATTGACTATATACCTTTCTAATCTCCACAACTTTATATCCAAATTCAAATATAAATTGAATTGTGATTATAGATCGACAATTAATTTGTCTATGTCATTATCAAACTCTAGATTTTTTAATGATAATAAAAAAATATCTCAAATATTTCTCAATAATTAATATGTTTGAGTTTTTCTATGTAATACTCAAAATCTGTTCTGAAACTCGACTGATTCAAATAACTAAAAAGTTCATTTTAAAGAACAAAATATTGTTGGGTTCGAAAGCGATTAGGGAATCATACGGAAGTTTACAATTGCATATCATATAGTCGATAAATCAGATGACAAAACTTATCTAAAAACATAATATTATTATTGATTTGACCAACTGACCTACATAATTAAAAACTAATAAGCATAGAAATTGTAGAGAAAATCTTTCCATAAACAAAACTCTCTAAGCGACTATATTGTGGATTCTATTGTGTTTTGCTATGAGAATAAATATATTCAATTTATAGATCTCTAAACTTTTCCTCCAAGAAAAGAATAAATCAAATATGGAAGATAATTATATTTTCCTTTCATGAAAAGTAAAAACATTTATGCAATGTTTTATCTTTTCTTTTAGAAAAAAATAAATTTCAAATAAGATAAAAAATTAGGACAAAACCCTAACAAATACTATTTATTAATTACAATTCTTTTTTCAGGATTCAAACTCGAGACTCATCTAGCCTTTAAGTATATCTAGTGTAGGTGTATTCTAGGGAGGTTTTGAGTGAAACAATTAAGGAGTTTGGTCTATGTATAACTTGTTAGGCAACAGTCCTATTTTATTTTTTTTGTCTGTTTTGTATTTCTTTTTTTTTGGTAGAATATTCTGGAACTAAAATTTAATTGGAATGGGACATATCATGACAATCTAATTAGGCTGTTAATTTTTTAGCGGTTCGGATTTTCGACTATGTTAGTTTTGAGATTGGTCTTACATTTTGTTACGAGCTAGTTGGATAGATTTGAGTTCAAGTGATATTTTATGTTTGATATATTCGGTATTCAGCATTTATATTGAATTTTGATTGACTTAGATTCGCGTTGGAAAGTTTAACTTTGGAGTGTGAAACACTTCTATCAAAGACGATTCCATTTTCAGAATTCAAAATTGAAACTTATGATAAAAAAAATACTTAATATTCTACCGTAATTTTAGATAGTCTCAATTTAAGTTGTCACACTTAGAACAATCAGTTCAAAACTTCCAATTTTGCTTCAGATTGTTCCAAAATTTGTAATTCTTAGCCCACCATGAATTAATTGTTCAGTAACCCAAAAAATGCCATTGAATTGACTATTATTAGGTGGACTTAAATAGAAAGACAAGTCAAAAGCTTTTATCTTAATTAATGTTGAGTGCCCAAATATATTGAAAAACAACTCATACTTAATTAGATAATTATCTAACTTACAGATTATTGCATCATAGTTATAAAATTATTATTTTAGTAACAAAAAAGAAAAGAATAATATTTCAATTATGCTTATATATATAATCCCTCCGTCCCATTTTATATGTCATCCCTTTTTGTAAATAGCTAGACCACAATACTTGTCATTTTATAAAATTTATGCATAAATTATCATATTTTGTCTATTATACCCTTGATAGAATAGTTAATTAATCTTGTCATTTATTAATAAAGTTGACTTAAGAAAATATTAAATAAGGATAGAAGGGTAAAGTTATATCATTTCTTAATGCAAGTGCAAAGTAAAAAAGTAACATATAAAATGGGACAGAGGGAGTATAATATAAAAAAGACAAGATATGTCAGAAAGTGCTAAATTCAATTCCCAAAAAGATTTAAAAATATTCCCTTCGTCCACTTTTAATTGTCATGTTGCGGTTTTTGAAAGTCAATTTGACTAATTGTTAAAGTTAAATTAGATTACGTTAATTCAATATTTTAAACAAAAAATTTAGATATTCAAAAACTATATGAAAAGTACTATAAATTTATTTATCGATTTCGTAAAAGAAAATAATCCTATAAAATTTATTTATCGATTTTCGAGGTGAGTGTGTGTGTGGGGGGGGGGGGATATAACTAAGTGAATATTTGTCCATTAATTTGATTTCTTAATTATTTTTAAAATTTAGGATTTTGAGAAATATAATTACATGAAATGTCGACCATTTGGTGCAATTATTGGAAGGAAATAGTGAAGTGGTCCCTCAAATTTATACTTTTTTGTCATTTAGGTACCCTAAAATGTTGTGAATTGTCACTTTATGTCTCTTATTTTGGAGATATCATGTGTCCATTTGTAATGGTAGATAAATTGTTGGTTAGCATATTTCCATATGGTTGGCCTTGATCATCTTAACCTAAGCACATTATTCTCATTTTGATTTCTATTATTGACCTTTTGTCTTTTGGCATGCAATTTTTGAAAAAAGAAGAAGAAATATTTATTTGTATATGATGTTTATACAAAATTAAATAATATGAGTTCTGAAGTTAATGTAAAAATATATTAAATCTGTTTCAAAAAGTTTTACTCGGAAAGTAGAAAAGGCAAATAAGTTATTTATTATAAGATGTTGAATATT